TTTCTACCTGGTGTATATGTGTGTTCAAAAAGTATGATAAATTAATTACCTTCATAATAAAGATACTGGCAGGTATGTAGACTATCGTTCGTGTCGTTTTTAACATCAAGACAGCAGAGAGCCTGCAGCAGCACGCAAAAACTTGTTGTCACTATATTACTAAAATGTGACACATTTTTTGAAATCTTAAATTTTACTGTAAATAATTTTATAATAATAATAATGACAATAATAAAATTATAATGCTAAAAGATAAACACACGTTGCGTAGAAATTTACCTAAGCATCAGATCAGAAGTATGTTGACAAATGTATTAAAACATCTGTCTTTGTAAATTACTGTGCGTTTCATTCTTGTGAGAGACAAACGAATTTTACCTGCTCATGACGATTACAAAGTGCTTGTGAAAAAAGAAAATATATCTAATATTCTAAAAATAATTAAAAAATAATTAAAGCGTTCATCTGCAAATGTTCAGGATGAATCCATAATCCAAAAGCACTAACAATAGGCAGTGAAAGAAAATTGTTGTTTATAAAGATACCGGTCTTAAGTAAAGTTGAGTTGGACTTGGTACGGAATAAGTTTAACTTTTATTCGAAGATTGTTTTCTAACATTATCTCCTAAAATTACGAAAACTTGACTGATTACATTACGTAGGAAGAGTGTTCATCCGCCGGGATTTGTTCCTTGAGAACGCTGGATTATTTATTTAAAATAGGCTGTACACGATAGAAACAGACCGAGGGGTTAAAATACAATAGAATATATTTAATCACAATAAAACGCAAGCACAACGCTGCCCATCCAATTCACTGTCTGTTTTGTAGTTTAGTAAAATTTCAGTAAAAAACATGAGTCATCATCAAGTTCTCGTTTGTTGATATTTGATTCTAAATTCTCTGATGATTTCAATTATTCAAGCATTGCAAAATAATATATTAACATCTAACACAATTGGTCGTCTTTTGTACCTCCATGAGTTAATCAATAAAAGGGTTTTCAAATCCGCCTTTCAATGCATTGTACGTTAATCGATCTTCAAAAACTCTTCAAAGGATTGTGTATATGTCGGTTTAAGCTATATTGATTTTATGTTTATGTAGTGGCTTGTTATGTAGTGGCTAACAAACTCAACTTGGTATGTGGAAAGATGCAACTGTCTTAGACAAGCAATGACGAGGTGCTCCTGGGGTAAGTGAATTTTATTTTTCAGTGGCTTTGAGAGGCATAGTTACGCAGTTGAACGGCTTTCTTGATTCTCATTGTGGTATACATTGTGGTATAGTTATATAGATTCAGAATGGAAAAAAGAAATCCACCAAAACCATACGACTGATTACGATTAATAGTTCTACCAAAAGGACGGATTAATTTTAGATAGACAGAAATTAGTCCAGAAATATTGTTGCCTATAATAACGATTCGGTGAAATATGTTAGTTTGCATGGAGCTTTTCAACCACCCACATTGAACGTTTAGCTGCTAGCACATAGGCGGTAAAGAAAGCACAGTCTACCTATTTTTTTATATACAGGGACAAGCGTGATTAAATAAAGAAATAATTTTCTACATATATATATATATATATATATATATATATATATATATAAAGCATTTTCACTTATTCTATGTTCCCATTAGCGATACTTAACCTTTTTTATCAGTTCACAGATTTGCTTGGGCATTTTATATTCGTTTCAGAATTTAGGATGACGATTTGCATTCACGCTATTTTATATCTAAATCCCTGCAATTGATATAAGTAGAATAATACTATTTGTATCTAATAATATTAATTGGCAAAGGAGTATATGTATAAGCATTATATATGATGCTTGAACAAAATGACTCCATACTGCGTAATAGTGTATTGTATATTCAAATTGTGTGTACAAAAAAGGAAAATTACATGTCACTATTTACTACCTGATTTGCACTAAAATCTTTTGTGGCTTTTTATAAATCGAAAATGGATAATTTAATACCATTGCCTTGTCTAATATTATAGATCCCAGGGCATTATGTTGCTTAATCATATTGTCAGCAACTGAAAATAGAGAAAAGTATATTTACCATTAAAACTACCAGTTTCACTTAGGTTGGCACTTTCAGCATAGTTGGAATACGTATCCAACATGATTCGAGTTTTTTGTGCGGGATCGCTGTTAGGCATTTCATTAGACGACTGGCTCCCAGCACAAAATGAATAGTTTTTCTGCATGGCCTCGAATCTAGATCACGACGTGTTTCTAAACTTAGCAGACAAATACGTTGCTTAACTAAGCTGTCACGGAACTTCGAAGACAACTGAGCAGAGCTAGGTCGGCCCTATTGCACAACGACATTCAATCTTACGAGAATTGCAGTGTCAAAGATGGGGCATAAGTTACAGTTGGAGGCTCTGAATAGGGCAATGCTTTTTTTAAATTCGTCCACGCTTTCACTTGAATTGAGTGCGCTAACCTTCTTAATGGAATATTTTCTGTAAATAAGTAAATAAAATGTAAAGTAAATAAGTAAGTAAAATGATGCCTATTTGAAATGCGTCTAATGAGAATATGATCGTTGAATAGTTCGAAATGGAAACTAGTAGCATGGAGCCCTTTCGTTGAACCTTTGACTAATTTATTCTGTTGTAAAAAGAATTCTGCCAAAACCGCGGCGTGGTGAGATGCTTCAATCACTTTTAAATGGCCTTCAAAGAGAGATCAAACAGTTACAGCTGCTTCATTGCCTGGAGACTTTGTATAGAGTATTCATTTGTTGTTCACGTTTTCTTGATCATTGGAATCTGTCAATGGCTAGCGAAAAGCCCTTTCCCTATCGGCAAAATTTTGTTTCTGTACCGTTTTGAAGCCGTTTATTACTTAAAGCTCTAAATATAAGAACCACTGCATTTTGTTTATTCTCGTATTTTATTTACTCCCTTTACCGTAGAGCGCTTATGGATAGTCGAAGACATATAAAAGTTGTAAAAAGGGTTTGTTTGAATATTCATAATGGATACTTATTGAAGTGCTTTTGTTGATCTTTAGAAGACAAATGCGTTACCAAGGGATGAAAACGTAAAGTATCTTTGGCGCATAGTGACACATTGTTTCGTATGTGCTAAATAAATAAGTTATTTTCTAAGAAAATACTCGGATGAATAACTCAGATGAGATAATTTAAATTAGCTAATGCTTTCGTTCATGTAAACTGAAAGTTAGTAACTTAAACTAATAAATATTATTACTACTGAAATGACTATTCCTTCTATATTATGTTGACTTCGCTTTTAAGTCAGTACAGTTTTCTCTGTTTACAAAGTTGAGTAATTTCTGAGCTTTCATACTAACTGCTCAGTTTACATTTTGCGATCACTTATTGTCACAGAAGCAACGAGACATGTAAATGCATTGGTTTTTGTCCACGATCCATGAGTATAGCTAAGCGACATCGATTGTCTGTAACTTTCTCGTAGTTACTGACGGTTTTTTCAAGTAATACGCGGTAAAGCTTTGTTTTCAAAATGTTTAATCTCTGCGTAATCATAGATTTTCTTGCTTTTGATCATTCTTAGTACTGATCGTCTTTTTCCATTAAACCTTGCTTAACGCGTTTGACGCTTAATCGCAAACTAGCCTGCTGAGATAGGTTGATATATACCCCCCCCCCCCCCCCCATTAATAATTAAAATTCAAATGATCTCTAGATAACAAAAAAATGTAATACGCGAGGAAGGCCGATCTTTCTCACAGAAAGGTGTTGAGAGAGCGAAGGTAAGTGTGACGTTTGGAACTGGCAAGTATTCTTGATCTAAAACATCAACGTAACTACTGCTTCTTTTTACAGCATAAACCATGGCATCTTCTTAGGGTGGTTCGTCTTTTTCTGTTAAGTGCGTGTCTATTGGACACGAAGAGCATTAAACAATACAAATCGGTTGAAGCACGAATAATTATTATGGCAACTTCCCCTCTTTTATTTTGACAAATGTTTCTTTTTTCTGGTGCGGCTTAATTCTAGCGTCTTTGTTGCCATATTCACAAGGCAGTCCGTACGGTTATACGTAACATAAAAGAGTCTAGCAAATCGATCCTTAAATTAGTATTTCCATCCAATTTATATTCGTTAAGAATGTATTTTTTAGTATATTTAAATGCATTTGTTGAGCATTTTTCTGATTCTATTGCTTTTTGAACTAAAGCCGTTCTTCTTTCTAATGAAAAACGTTCCTATAGTGAGAATCTAAGGCAAGTGGCTACAATTTCGGGTAATATTTTAAGTTCTAGTTTTTACAAAAATTTGCATTTTTTGTGCATATAATGTCGACACACTATACTCATAAGCTTCTATAAAAGTCATTTAATAGCAAACTGCAAAGTTGCCAGTGGTCATTTCGCAAGAGCTCTTATCAAGTATGATCTGTAAAAGAAAAGGCTCTAAATTAAATAGAACAAGCGTCGGTATTAAATGTGACAGCGCTTTCCGCTAAATGTCGGATTTTTTGGGTAGCCGCGAGCACCTGAGAGCCGGAAGCAAAGAATTAATCTCGACACTTTGGAAGCCTAGTTCACTAAAATAAGGGCTTAGATATTAAGTAATATATTCTATACTTTAAAAAAAATTCAACTAAAGATAGAGGTTTGAAAATCGTTATATGTATATATATATATCCCTACGGTGCCCCAGTGCCTTATCGTTAAGTGCGTTAAAATATGCATGATTGTCATCTTGCCCTTGTAGTATATATATATACATATATGAGTGATATTTGGCATACATGGGAGTTAACTAGACGAACTTCTCAACTCCTGCGAAGCGCACAACAGTTTAGTCTACAAAAATCTGCAAGATTCCGAATAAAATACTATTATTGATTTTTAATAAGAGAATTAGGCTGCTTTGTGAGGACATTAGGGGCCCGCTCTCCAAATGGCCGAAGGAGGCATCGCCATTGTCTCCACCGCCTGATGGGCTCCGAGACCATCCACAGTTGACAGGTGGCGTTGAGTAAAACAGAGCGAGTTATGCATTGTGTAGTACGGTACCGCCAGTGACCGTTGGTGTGTATTACTGTGCGAGCGTATTTGAGCTGAAGCGGTCTAGAGAAACTGTTTTCTCTGCGTTGAGCTTGGGACGGACGCGGCGATTACGCACCGTGTGTGAACGCGGCAGATACGGAGACACGGTGAGACCAATTACTATCTAGAAAAAAAAAAAAGGATCCGTATTAATAACACAGCCATTGACTGCTGTTCGAACAAAATGCAGGTTTATATGTTGATTGTAGATCGAGTGTTACGTTTCGTAAATATGTTGTAATCTCTAGCTGCGCCTACCAGACATTAGCTTGGTCGTTAGCAGGCAGCTAAGCGATACAATTCCCATTGAGTTCGGAAATTTAGGTGGAATATTCGCTAGTATATCTCTTAGTATAAAACCAAAGCAATGAATCGACAGTGAGTTGCGTGACCGACTTTACGAAGCGTAGCATATGAGCAGTTGACTTAATCGTATGGAACAGGCTACATATCATTAGCAAGTTTACCCAATTCAGGTTTATATGTGTTTGTTTTTGCTCATAGATGGTTGTCTCCAAAGTTTACGAACAGCGTCTTCATGTGTAGCTGAAAAGAAACTAAACCTCGGCAACACAGCAGATACTGTGTTTGAATTGATATTAATTTATTTGTATAATATGTACGTATACTATGTATGACAAGCCAATACTTGAGAATTAGGTACACTAACAAAAACTATTATTCCACTTCCTTTCGTTTAAACAGGTTGTAAAAGCGGATTAGAATGAAACGTTTCACCTTTGTGATTGCTCTCGGCACTACGGTATGCTAAAGACCTTCGATTTACGATCTTGGCATCTATGTGTCGTATATGCAATGCGTTTATACAATGCCGCTGGCGCGCTATTATGGACGACAACAGCACTGTTACACTTGTCGATCATTCAGGCTCTGACTATGACAACCACGAAAGATATTTATGACTGAAATTATCTTCTTAAGATAAGGAGACAGATCTCTACTCGTCATGCATAATGCCGAGGAGTATGGTTTAGCTATGGAATAATGTCAAATTGTCGCGGGACCTCCTTTGAATTTTTAGCTCGTTTTTCTGGCACGCCGCTTATCCACCTAAGGGAGGACATAAGTGTCGTGAGGACCGCAGGTTAAGTTAGATCATGCTCCGAATGAAATTACCAAATTATTGTCGTTATTTTTAATCCCTTCTAATGCTGAACTAAGAGTAAAACCGTTGTTCAGGTCCTTGTTAACGTTAAAGGTTAACGTTCAACTTAGCTATCACCCCCTGTTTACTGTATAAATAAGCATTTCACAACACATAGTTATATCCAGCGGTATCATCGATCTGGGCTAATTAAATAAATAGCTTGGATATATCCAGATTGAATTATTTATCTGTTACGGTTAAAGACTATCCTGAGAAATTTTTAAGAAATTTAATCGAGGGTATTCTAGATCGTCTAAGTCCGGGAAACCACAGCCAAAAACGGATCGTCGAAATGGAGAGAATCAATGGTTCCAAAGATATGTAGTATTTCATTTAACATGTGTTAAAAGATATTATACATATCTATTTGATGGTTATCTTACACAACGCAAAAAGTCTTGATTACGTGGTGCGTCTTGCTGTTGACTAACAAAGCTGGTTCGAAAATTCTGCAAAAAAATTCAATATATGTTTTTCGTTAAAGGTTTTCGAATTTGTGCTGTCTAACTCGTAATTCTTTTTATAGGTCGCTCTGTGCTTCGCCGAAGGTTTGCTAGAGTCTAAGAAAACAGAATGCACCAAGGACGCCTATCCTCCAAAAGCAAAGTACGAAGTTCGATCCAATTCGACAATGCAACACGGAACTTTGTGTAATTTCTGTGTTTAGATTCGATGTCATTCTCGATCAGTTAGATAACTGTGAGCGACAATTAGTTTTCTCTATCCTATGAGAGCTATTTCATTGGGGTTTTGGCGTTTTTTGAAAACAGTTGTTTTCTTTTTTTTTGGATTTTAAGTTATATATGAATTCATTGTAGATCACTGTAAGAATCAATTTACCGTGATTATTACGCACCGTCTGTTTAACAATATTCATTCTACCTTTTTGGACTCACGCTTGTTTTTTTTTTTGCAATTCAAAAATATAGACATTCTAATATGGATGAGTATAATTCCGTTATACGCCTACTATTGGGACTGTTGGCTGTGTAACGAAAGTAGCCAGGGAAATCAGCTTCAAGATTGGCAGGCCCTCCTGCCATATATGCTATCCACATATATTAACAGATAAACATACAAACTTTTCAGTAAGATTGAATGCTGTTCATTCGTTCTTTGTTATGCGTCACTGCAGATTCATTTTAAAGGATAATTGTTATAATCGACCATATCTGAAGTTATTTAACACTTTACATAAATTGATGCCTTGCCGTCTCCTAGTAACATGAAGTCGTAGCAGCGGTTACCGTCTGTAAGTAAAACTCTAGATGACCATGTGTTTACATGGAATACCGAGTAGGCGAAATAAGCCGATTGGTATAACGAATAAGGTTTTTAGAGAATCTGCATAATTCAGCATTCTAAGATTTTATATTACTCAACAAAGAGCACAAATCCTCTCCTATCTGTTGCTGACTCAAAGCAAATAATAAAGTACTTATTGTATGTTATTAATTTATTACGCAGTGCTTCAGTGCCGAAAGTTATTGTGAACTTGGATTTGCCCCCTGAAGAAAGGTGGAAGGAACTTGTTGCGCTGAAGAGAAGCGAGGTAAAAGTTAAATGTGGCTTCTGCATGGTTTTTCTTTTTTGTCGAGGTAACTTAGACCAGTCAGTCGCTAACATTTTGTTTCTGTATTAACCGCCCCTTGTGCACGAAACATTTGTTCGTAACATAGTGATCGCATCTTTCCGGCAGCCGGTGCTTTAGGTCGGAGCAAAAAGCTTTTCTATCTACATCAAACTGTGCTCTCTTGCCAATGTAATTCACAATCAGCATAAAGGATTTCTTTTACGCTGCTTGTGAAAAATATATTTCTAGTTTGTTTTTGTTTGCTAAACATCAAATAAATTGGCCATTATTTATTGACAGTGTGCTCTGGCGCTACCATTTTAAATATTAGATCGTATTCCATTTAGCTATAGCTGCTTTAACGTCAACTTTCCTTTTCGATATGTGTTTAACATTTCAGATCTCCACTCTCCAAAGCGAATTAAGAAACCTTGGTGGTAACTTCATTGTCAAACTCATCGATCATGTAGGGGTATGAGAGCGCTTTCATATCTTGTGCATGGAAATAAGCTTTTAGTTGAATATCTGCACTAAAGCTGAATTGCAAATAGGTCTTACATATTTGTCTGCTAGAAACTATGAGTATGATACAGTGTCTCAGGCAATTCAAGCCTACCATTTCTAAAAAGATTTCTAAATTCCAATAACGTAGAGACGGAATTCCCATGGAATCCATTAATCTGGAGACGCAAACATTTTGTAAACTACGGGCATGTAAGTAAACATTAATGTTATTGAATGATGACTGTTTTTAATATACAACATTATCTTAGTTACGTAGTTCGAAATAAGTATTGTTCTTTGAAATGTCTGTCGCTTACAAAATAGCCGATACTCCATAAAACTCTACCATCGCCTTATCGTGAGGAGCTCCAAAGCATTTCTGATCTGACGGGCATACCCCTCGGAGAAGTGAGTTCGATAAATATTACCTTTCTTTCCTACTGCAACTAATGATGTGTTTGAGACGTAATATACTCGTATATAGTAATTATATAATTCATTCATTCACGATCCCATTTTGTACGAAACATTTTCAAATAAATCCCTAGAAGTAATCAAAATAGGCTCCTATTTAGTAGAATAAATAATAGCGGACGCATGTTTCGACTTTTTAATTAACAGGCCAGGGTATACTCGTACGGTGTTGAAATAATATATTGAATATTGATTAAATTTGTTCAGGTCGTCTTGTACAACGTTTTCTATGAATTCTTTACTGTCTGCACCTCGATAGTCGCCCAAAATGCAAAGGTGAGAAATGGAAAAATGTAACGGAACTTTTTACAGCCAACTCATAAACTTAGTCAAACACTGACCTAAATTGAAAAAGTGTATCTATCTAAGTAATATTCCTGTTTTTCCTTGAGCCTGTTGTTCTATTGCAAAGCGAAATGGTTCTTTGTAGTGAAGAAACAATTGAATTGTTTCTACTTTCGTGCACTTGACAAGAACTGATTGACTGACGGATACCTAAGTGCTGATTCCGAGAACTTATTCATTTAATGGGAACAGCCAAAAGCGTTAAAAAGATAATTAGAAAAATAAACTCGGCTTGTAATTATTAACATGTCACAGAGAAAAAAGCTTGTTAGCCACTAGAATAGCCTAAATCGTAATTGAACATGAATAGTATAGTTGAAACTCTAATTATAATCTTCTTTTACGTTGTAGGGTGAAATCTTACATGCACGTAATTTGGATTTCGGCCTATACCTCGGATGGAATTCGAGCAGTCAGACATGGACAATGACAGAGGTTTGTATTCCATATAGATAAGGTGATGCGCTCAAATTGAGCAGGACGTTCGCGGATCGTTTCCTGTTAAATAAAATTAAAAATGTTAAATAAAAGCCAGTTCTTTTCACTAAAACAAAGCAGGTACATCACGAAAGCAGACAAGGGTGCCTCGTTTTCAGAAGATTCAGTTATTATGCAATCCTGACGCGCTGAAAAAATTCCGCCAAGAACATTTTATTAAAATTAGTTTTTTTTTTTTCTTGAAAAGAACATATTTCTGCGTCATTTATAGTTTCTACGCGGCTTCTGAGAAATTTGCGAAATATTTTTATGAGAGAAGTTGGAAGATTGTCAATAAGCTTTAGATTGAAAGGGCTCGACTTGAATTATTTAAAAGAAAAAAAAACTATTTTTGATACAACTAGGTTTTTGATATAAAAATAGATGGCTTTTTAGAAAAAAAAAGAATATTAATAGCCAATTGGGCCGTTTAGATAAGCTCAAACGGTGAATCTGTTTTCACCCCTTGAACTTTTTGGCTATTTTTAATTTTTATTTGGGCCTTTTTGCTTGCTATCAGCTTAATATTTTCCAGTATTTTTTGTCGTATTTTAGCGTCATTTTAACAAGTAAGTTTACGCCTACTAATATCGCTTGACGTAAGATTATGGTTAGAAAGCTTCCAGATTGCAAATAGCTAACCATAATCTTAGTAATAAATGATAATAATAATACTGGAGAAGAAGTAGTATTTAGAAATAGATTCGTTCGTGACTAAAGTCTCAAATGGAAGCTATAGTCGGTGTCGCCAGTGGCTATATTGAGTAAGCATGGTAATTAGGGATAACACTTCCTCTACATGCAACAAATTTCGGAACATGGCTTTGTTGGGACACAGTCTTAGAAACAAGACGTTAGAAAAATGCTTTATATATTTATTATATTATATATTTAATAGTTTACCATTCGTTGATCCGTAAAGTACCGTAAACTGAAAAAATGCTTATTTCTGCCCAACGTAATCATTATTAACGCATTACTGATTGATGCAATTTTTTAAGAAATGTCTTGTCCTCGTCCTAGTGATTCACCAAATAATAGATAGCAAATCGCTTTGATTTCAATTTAGTGGTAGCTCATCCAAGATCGATTCTTCAGCTGAAAGATCGTAGCTTAACATCCAGACAACAAAATTCGTGTAGTTAAATCGTTCGTTAAGTTTACAATTCGTTAAGTAAAAATCGAGTGTACAGCATACAGTTAAAAATTAGATACAATAAATTTTAACATAGACACGTATTATTTGAAAAGTACCAAATATTTCTATACCGTTTGATACAGGTTCTTCGCAACACCGTTGTCCAGATTGAATGGCAGCGAGGCGGCGCGACTGTGTTCTACTCGGTTAACTTCGCTGGTTACATCGGTATCCTCACTGGTCTTAATCCGGTAAATCGAATTCGAATTAAGAGAGACGGTCCTTCAGCTCATCGGAGGCTCAGTTCCTATATCGATGCTAAAGCTTGTTGACTCCATTTCACTTGAACTTAATTCAAAAGTATTTTAAAAGTTGTAGTCATCTAGGTCTTGATGATTTTTTTATAGTGCGGAGGTCGCTACAGAGCTTGACATTAGATGCTAGAGGAATGGCATATTCTTACCTTCCAGGGTGTTATGTCGTTCACGGTCAACGAACGCTTCAATTTGAACGGAGGATTTATTGGAATTGTTCAGGTATGATTCATAAAGCGTATGCAGTCATTAGTTACAGAAATGGCTATTTATATACTATTATATTTATTTTTATATATCTATTGTATGTCCGCAACCCAGCTACGTTGATATTTCTAACAATATATTTTTTATGACAGCATAACTTGCACTTCACTCTGAGTATTTTAATATATTAAAATACTTTGATCAGCCGCAAGCATGCACTTCGTGCGTATTGTTTAGAAGTTTTTATCTTGCTATCTAATCTATCTGAACCGTTGGGGCACATGATTCTAAGGCACTTCGCTTTTCATATTTGTTTCTAAGTGTCTTTATTTTTAAACTTGTAGTACTTGTTTGCTACTATTTAATTAATATAATATAATTGCGATTCAAGTGGCTTATTTTCGGCCAGAGGGATCTTCAGTGGCTTGGATTTTTGGCTCGCGATATATTTGAGCGGGGACTCACTTTCGACGAAAGCAGGGTAAAGTAACATCTCACAGCCAGCATATGTATGTCTAAATAACGTAACAACTTTTAGTATCATTGCAAAGAATTTTTAAATGAAATTAATAAAAAAGATAATAAAAGAAAAAACAAAGAAAAACTGCGTCATTCCGACCTATGCAATAGCGATCGGGTTTTGAGTCATGGGTTAACAAACTGATTTCGTTCAGAAGACAAATACCTATTATATATACATTGAAAGTATATATACATATTTATGTTATTTTTTATTAGGTTTGCTAGACAGATTTTAGTAAGTGTACACTACACGTTTCAGGCGAACCTGACTGCTGCCAAAATGATTGCTCCCGTCTACTTTATCCTCGGAGGCAACAAACCTGGTTTGTGTTTTACAACAATGATCTTTGAAACCTACAAACTATGTTTGAATTAGGTTCTCGTGGCACCTTGAAGCTGCATGCTAAATTCTTTATTTTAGTACATTCATTGTAAGATGCTGATCTGGTTTATAGTATTTAGTTCGATATCAATAAAACATCCTATGAACGTACTTTTTCTTATGTACTTATAGGTCAAGGTACTATTTTGGCGAAAAGTCGTGGAGTAAGCGGTGCTGACGAATACCCTATGGCTACAAATAAAAACGGAAATTGGTAAGTAGCGAAAATTCTAATTTGTATAACGCACAAATTTTATTTCAAATATGTAAGGTGTTCTAAACTACCTTTTGTAGAAATAAATCTAGCTACATATACTTCATTTTACTGGATATATACGATTTTAAAATATACTTAGAGCATTGGTGCATTAGCAGTGTCCCCATTGAATAAGATAAGCTTACTATTATGACGCATATTTGATTTGCGTACCAAGAAAACCTTCACACATCATCAATGTGGATTCCATTTTCTTTACGTTTACTGCACAATTAGTGTGCGTGCTGGTCGCTGTTATGAAGTTAACTTGTCGGGATTCCGGTTGTAGCACGAGCGCTGAGGTTGTACAGAACGCTATAGCATATTGGTAGGCTAAAGCTTCGCTATCATTGCTTAACAATGAACAGTCAGGAGATGTGATTTTGCAGGCAAGGGCTGTATACACTGATGTTTGAAATCAGATGTTCACTCTATGTAATAACAAGTTCGGGGGTGGTACCGCTCCTAGGATGCAGATGTTAATCAGGGAACTACTAAGAAAAGACACGAATATGTATCCTTCTCGTCGTATTGGCTTAGTGCAGTCAAAAGTAGAAGGGTAGAAGTCACTTGCAAATATTACAAGATATTTGACCCTCGTAGCACATCATTATCGAGATCATCACAGAGCTTCCGTCCCTATTCGACACTGGACACCGTATAGGATCGCAACGTACACTGCTAAAGCGTTAACTTCCTCCACTGTTCCTTGTGTGTCGCTTTAGAAGCATAGTATAGTTCCGCCACGTTGCGTCATTGAGTGGCGTCCAGTAAAGTACACTCATTGTAAATTTAGCGCTCACATTAAATGTAACTGACAGACCGCCAAAATTCGGGCACATTATGGACCAACTGTTTTCCTTAACGTAAAAGAGACGTCGTTAATGATGTCTCCGTGTTTTCGAGGTAGCCTCGGCCTAGTAGATCTACGTACAGGTAAAAGACGCACAGGAATATGAATTGCGTTTAAAATATATTGAAAATTTACGAAAAACGCGACTTGATTTTATCGCGCCCAGCAGACGAAATCTAGCTGCACAATAACGGAAGTTTCCGAGTGTCAAAAAAAAAACTAAGAAAGTAGGCTTCTAGTTAAGACATGAGCAAGTGTGATATTGTAAGATGGTTCCTAATTGAGTGGCATCAAGGATCATTGAATAAAAGTTAAAAGAAAAAAATATATATATGGTTAATAAAATAAATTTTGCATATTATTACAGAACTTTGTGCATTTTTAAGTACTATTTCGAAGAAGTAAGTGCTACTAAGTCCTTCGTCTGTGTGCCTCTCAACTGTAAACCCAGTTCCACTTATAACCCTAAGATAGCTATAAATCCTGTAGTAAAGAGTTTCCATTCGCAACAGGCAAGCTATATACAAATATAGTTCTGTTGGCAACATATGATGCTAAATGAGAAAACTGCTCTTAAATTGAAAAGTGAATCCTTTACAAGTACATATAGACAAAACCGTAGATTATAACTGGTAGTAAGGGAATAAAACTACAAACACACCGAGCGACCTCTTAGTTAGACATGCTGACTTTGCAGTTTTTTTTTTTCATAAGAAACTGAAAAATGAAGTTAAGAAAAATCTTTACGAAATATAGAACTATACATATGTCGCTCGTCCCTTATTAGTATTGATTGTACGTGTTAATTGCTGTTGTCGCGTGATAAAATTACTTTTTTGAGTTTCAGGTTTGTTCTTGAAACGAACTATGATCCAAACCAGCCACCACCGTTCTTCGACGATCGCAGAACCCCTGGCAACAAATGCATGGTTGAGCTTGGGCAAAAGGTGAGAAACAATTTTAACGCAGCCATTTTTACGTAATGTTTTGATTTTACGCTATAGTAGCTTGTGGTCAACGTGTCTTTTTGGTATAGCGGATTTATTAGTAAAGGGCTCGAGTGTCATAAAGCTTCAATATCAATGTTGTTAAGATGATCTAGCATCATAAAAGAACTCATCTATTTTACGTCAATAGATGACGAGGCGATACGGTTAATGTGAAAGTATGTGGTGAAAACTTAGACGCCTAGATGGTATTAGATAGTCATAATTTTGAACGGGGCATAGTTCGAGATTACACGCATACCAGTCGGGGGGCTATGCGCATTTCTAGAAGAATTTGCAGAAATGCTAATTTTTAGTGATATGAACGTTTACTAGCGTTTCGTGAATTACGTATGTCTTTGTTCCAGAACGTTTCATTTGAAGGCCTGTTTAACGTGCTCTCAACGCAGCCAAACCTCAACAAGGTAAGACTGCACTGAAAAACGTCCTCGTATACATTTTAGGTTTGTTAGTGTTGACGTTAAAAGGTTGCTGATCGGAACGGTATTCTTTTCAGCTATTCTATTCAGATATTCTAAGCAGCCCTTTGATAGCGAATACGCTAGTAAATGTCAAAACACTCAAAAGTATGTCTAACTAAATTTTTTCATCATTTTAGAAGAGTTTATTATAACAATGTCGCCGTCCCCCCCAAAAAAAAAAGACCCAGATACCCAAAGACTAAGTCAATGTTACTGCATGTAAATCGAGTTAGTATCCGTTATCTAATCTTCATGAAATAACAGTAGAGCCCGCTGAGTAGATTTCTATATTGCTGATTAGTAGAGGAAAGTTGTAAAATATGACTGCCTGCTCGCTCGCAACAACTAAAACGGCTAAACATGTTTAAACATTTTTCAGTTAACGACGTACACAACGCTAATGAACGTAAACAGAGGCCAAATAGAGTCGTACCTTCAAAAATGCGAGGGGAACTGTCCTGCTTGGTGAAAAGGTGGTTGTGTGTGACTGTAAATGCAATTTTGTTTTTATAAAGTCACCAGATATTTGGAATAAATATTACCATTAATCCGCATTTTATTAAATCTAAAGTGTATTTGACTAGGATAGTGTAGGTAATTACTTGCTACAACCAGTACTATATATTCTCACTAATAACTATGTATGCCGATCATAATAGACAGAACAACGAGCGTTTGAAGCGATGGCTCAAAGAGGTATGGCTAAAAGCCGGATGTCTGAACGTCGTGGATAGGAATATACATGAACCGATTTCATAAAGTAAATAAAACTTTAAAGGCTAAATAAAATAAACATTTTTTCTAACTTATTTTCAACTAATTGATGTTGCAAATTACGTATCAACCTAATATACACCACGTAATCACAAAAGGTCACGACATATATATCCGTGAAACTTTGATACGTGATATCTATTGTTGTTAAGCTGCTGTCTCTACTCTTAACAATTTGGTCTTATATCGTTATCTTAATGTGTGCTCATCAAAAGCTGTGTCTATTTTATTAGTAAACAATATTGGCTTTACAAACTATATACAAAAGAACAATTACTTATTCAATGTTTAGTCTAGGGGTCGTACTTAGATGTCAGTAGAAGCCCTCCTGTTGGAGTGCTTCTAGGTGCATACAGGCACTACGTTATAATACTGTTGTCTAAACAAACACCTTGCGCTAAATAATACTATGCAATACTTTCGATGCTCCCGATAAACATTTACATAATGTTTACATAAAGGGAGGCAATCTTCTTGAGTTTTAGATAAACAAAAGAAGATTACCTCTCTTTGACTTGACTTTAAACTTGCCAAATGTTAGATCCTATTTTAAAAAACATCTTGGGGACTTTTAAAAATATTCCCCGGAGGCCTTTTCTTGTTCGCTGTCAGTATTTTTGTATGAAAAATGCAACGTGTTTCCCTTGATCAAAGAACTTACTATCACAGGATCCTAAAATACAATTCCACGCTAACTTAACCTCACCTTGAAATCAACTAGGCGTCCTTTACCGTAACCACAACTAACCGTCCCTGAGGTCAAAATAGTTCCTATATATTCAATTTTACATTTCGTATCCAAGGTTAAGATAATGAATTACGATACGGTTTTTTTTTCGTTGCTTACATAACCTTAAAACTTTACTGCACCAATGTTAGCACATCCAGCTTATCAAGTGTGCAATCTAAGACGCTTTCCAAGCACTTCTAACTTTAAGTTTCTTTATAGAGATGTTTATTAAGATAAATTATTGTAGATCCGAAGAAGGCAATAGAGTAGACGGTTAGCTAATGCGACTTCTTCATATTTAAATACCTGTGCGAAGCACACCAGTCTTCAGTTCCTATTTGTATTCAATTCTTACCGTTGCTGATTGGTCTAGCAACCTGCAGACGACAAGCTATCGTTTTCATCTCGCCAAAGTGGAAGTCAGAACTTTGTTGTTGCACGCCTAAAGAAAGTTTGTTTTTGACATACGTCTGATTAAATACAACACTTCTGTCAACAACTATAGTGGAAAGAGAACAAAACAATTTTACTACTCGTCCTTGGGCCGTTGAAATCTTATTGGATGCTACTCCTTTGATGTTCGAAACAGACTTGTGAAATTTCTTGCCGCGGCTTCCATCTTGACGTGTCGAAAGGGTTAGCTGCAACAAGATTAGCCATTTTGTTTTCAACTAAAGTTTATTTTACATCGTTTTACCATAACATTATAAACAAAAAATTTACTTAACTGGTATAATCTATTATACAATCAATAAGGTGAACCGTAATTAAGAGGCGTTTGGGGTTGGATCACAATCACCTTGCGTCAAACAACGATTATTTAAATGGTATCTAGAATTTACCTCTAGTGGACTGTTAGATGCCAGTGTGCTACGATTGAAGTCGCAGCTAGTTCGTAAAAAAAATAACCATTTTTCAATTGTATGTTAGATTGTCGCAGTGTGTTTGAGCTGAAGGTTTGCAAGAATGACTGAAGAATTGCAAGTGGAAACCTACGCTTTTCAGGCGGAGATTGCACAGTTGATGTCGCTGATCATCAATACGTTCTACTCTAACAAAGAAATTTTTCTCCGTGAGTTGGTATCCAACTCGTCGGACGCCCTCGACAAGATTCGCTATCAGTCGCTAACGGATCCAACGAAATTGGAAGCGAAGAAGGAGTTGTTCATTAAGATCATTCCTGACAGCGCCAACAAAACTCTGACTATCATAGATTCTGGCATAGGTATGACGAAGGCAGATTTAGTTAACAACCTCGGTACGATTGCGAAATCGGGTACGAAGGCCTTCATGGAGGCCCTTCAAACGGGAGCCGATATCTCTATGATTGGTCAGTTTGGTGTTGGCTTCTATTCAGCCTACCTCGTCGCCGACCGGGTTACCGTAACTTCGAAACACAATGATGACGAGCAATACACCTGGGAATCGTCTGCTGGAGGCTCATTTACGGTTCGGACAGATAGTTCAGAACCATTAGGGCGTGGTACGAAAATTGTTCTTCACCTCAAAGAGGATGTAACCGACTTCTGCGAAGAGCGACGTATTAAGGAAGTTATTGCAAAGCACTCGCAGTTTATCGGGTATCCAATAATTATGCCCGTTCAGAAATACCGTGAAAAAGAGATGTCAGAGGACGAGAATGAGAAAGAGAACGAAAAAAAAGGCGATAAATGTGATGATGGAGTTGAGGAAGGGAAGGACAACGATTTAGAGGATGCAGGCGAAGACGAAGATGCTGATCTAGAAGCGGGTGATAAAAAAAAAAAAAAGACTATTAGGGAGTCTTACATTGAGGATGAGGAACTTAATAAGACAAAGCCGATATGGATGCGTAATCCTGATACCATTTCACATGAGGACTACGGGGAGTTTTATAAAGCGTCGACCCACGACTGGGAGGACCACCTTGCCGTGAAGCACTTCTCGGTGGAAGGCCAGCTAGAGTTTCGCGCTCTGCTGTTTATCCCGAAACGGGCTCCATATGATCTGTTCGAGAACAAAAAGCAAAAAAATGAGATAAAGTTATATGTCCGTCGTGTGTTTATCATGGACAATTGTGAGGAGCTGATTCCAAAGTACCTTAATTTCGTACGCGGTGTCGTAGATTCAGAGGATCTTCCCCTGAACATTTCGCGTGAGATGCTCCAACAGAACAAAATCCTGAAGGTGATCCGCAAGAATCTCGTCAAAAAATGCTTAGAACTTTTTGATTCTATTGCAGAGGACAAGGATATGTATAAGAAATTCTATGAGCAGTTTTCTAAGAACATCAAATTGGGGATCCATGAAGATTCCCAAAACCGTAAAAAGCTTGCTGAGCTTTTGAGGTTTTATACTTCGGCATCTGGAGACGAAATGTGCTCTTTCAAGGATTACGTTAGCCGTATGAGGGACATCCAGAAACAAATTTATTTCATTTCTGGCGAATCACGCGATCTCGTGGCTAATTCGGCATTTGTTGAACGTGTGAAGAAACGAGGCTTTGAGGTAATTTACATGGTCGATCCCATTGACGAGTACTGCATACAGCAGCTGAAAGAGTACGAGGGAAAACAGCTAGTTCCAGTCACTAAAGAAGGATTGGAACTTCCTGAAGATGAAGAGGCAAAAAAGAAATTTGAAAGGGACACTAAGAAATACGAGAATCTGTGCAAAGTAATGAAAGATTGCCTTGACAAACGGGTTGAGAAGGTTGTTGTATCAAATCGTCTGGTAAGCTCACCATGCTGTATTGTCACCTCACAATTTGGTTGGTCAGCTAATATGGAACGTATCATGAAAGCACAGGCACTTCGGGACTCATCAACGATGGGGTACATGTCTGCCAAAAAACACCTTGAAATAAACCCGGACAATTCTATTATTAAACAGCTACAAGATAAGGTTGAAGTTGACAGGAATGACAAATCAGTTAAAGACCTTGTGCAGCTTCTTTTCGAGACTGCGTTACTATGCTCTGGCTTTAACCTCGAGGAGCCAGGCCACTTTGCAAATCGCATCCATCGAATGATTAGGCTTGGACTCGGCCTTGAAGACGATGAATCGGAGAGTGCAGATGAATCTATGCTTCAAAATCCACCTGCGCTGGAGTCCACAGCTGAAGATTCGCAACGAATGGAAGAGATCGATTAAAGGCCTATTTTTTATTGTAGATGGACTGTTTCGAAGTTTCTCGACTGTAATTGTTAATAATTGTAAATCACTGTAAATGATAAAATGTAACGATGTAAATGTTAATAACTCATCACTGACTCTATCAAATAAGGCAATAACTCATCAGTGGACTCTATAAAATCAATGACTCTATCAAAATAACTGGGGGCTGTCAAAAATGGGGCAAATCAATGACTCTATCAAAAATGGGGCTATCAAAAATGAGGCAAAAACTGTAGTGTAATGGTGTAAATGTTAATAACTCATCAATGACTCTATCAAATCAGGCAAAACTCATCAGCGAGACTCTATCAAATCAGGCAATAAGTCATCAATGACTCTATCAAAAATGGGGCAATAACGGCAATAGCTCATCAATGACTGGCAATAGCTCATGAATGACTTATCAAAAGGCAATAACTCATCAAAAGGCAATAACTCATCAATGACTTATCAAAAAAACTCTATCAAAGATGGGGCAATGGGGCAATAACTCATCTATGACCCTATCAACTGATCAAAAATGGGGCAATAATTATCAACTGTATAACTGTCAATGTAATGATGTAGATGTTAATAACTCATCAATGACTCTATCAAAAATGGGGGCAATAACTCATCAATGACTCTATCAACTGATCAAAAATGGGGCAATAATTCATCATGACCCTATCAACTGCTTCTGTCAACTGTTTCTATCAATTGATCAAAAATGGGGCAATAATTCATCATCAAAAGTGGAGCAATAATTCATCATGACTATCAACTGTATCAAAAATGGGGCGGGGAAGTAATGATCAATGACTAAAATGGGGCATATCAAAAATCGGGGCCGCGAAGGAAAGCTGAGGATTTATTTTTATAGTGAAGGTCTGTTTTTGTAGTGAAGGTCATCGATGAAGGCGCTTTTTCATTGTCCCACCAATGGCCTCAGTTCGCTTGAACGCTGCGAAATTTATGGGGCGGCGAAGGAGGACTAAGGCTTTATTCTAGTGTCCCTTGCTTGAGGAACGTATAGCCTAGTATCGTACTCCGGGTAAAGATCATCGATGAAGATGCTTTTTCATTGTCCCACCATTGGCCTCTGTTTCTGTAGCGACTGCTGCGAAATTTATTAGCAATATTATTGCAGCTTTATGATGCACCTGTCCCCATAAAACTCGTAAGTTTACTCATATGGGCTCTGCAATGGGCGGGTGAGGCCATTGCATTTAAATCTGTATCTCGTCAGTATTAAACAAACTGGCAAGGATACTCTTATGCGACCAGAGCGTAGGCCTGCTTCAGTGATGAAACGCACAGTTCACATACACTTTGCGCTTTGGGTTAGGTTCTTCTTATGTCTACCTCGCCGAATTTCGAAATGTCCTGCCTGTAGTTAGTTGCCACCTGGTTATTTCGATGTGCCCTCTTGATGAGATGAGAGTCCGAAGCAAGCTGAGAAATCATAATTGTCGGTAAATCCTTCTCGTAGCAAAATATTTAATATTTATAATTGGTAACGTTAGCTTTAATTGTTGGGACTTCATCATCTATGTAGTTGTTCAATGTGAGACACCACTGGCGTCCAGGAAAGCTACGGTTGGCAGCTATTGAATACGCTGCTGTGGCTCGTCCCGAAGATGGCTATAAGTACTACTCCGACTCCGTTAAGTTTGGTGTCCTCTCCCATTTCTTTAAAAGTAAAGATTATTCCACTTTACCGATGGGATGCTTCACGCAAGCGTCCATCCACTCTATCGACTTACGGATGAAAAATTGCCCGGACAGGTCTCTGAGGGAAAGGTTCCAATCATCCATGGAGTTACTAATGCCTATTTATCATCGTTTGGGGCTGGCTATCATCGCGCGAGTGGTTACCGGTATTAATCAGAAGCGCTTGATGAAGATATGGCCATTCGTAGGAGTCGTACTCGTACTCGTACTTACTATCTTTAGGACTAAGCGTAGTCGGCGACAGCGTGTTTATCGTCGTAGGAAGACAAGAGGTTTTATAAAATCCGTTTTTGTTACGTTGACACGTGCAGTTGGTAATACTTCATGTGGCAATATAGAATGGTCAAAGGAAGGTGGTAAAGGACTATATGGTCTTGGACAGTATCTATCATTTTTCAAGTGGTAAAAATACATCGAGTAAAAATGACAATCATGCCAGATATATTACAACATCCGCAGTTGCGTGATGGAAAAGCAAACTGCCAGATACCAATACTATTTCATAAAATTGGAGAAGATCCTGATATAAATTAACGGGTTGAAGATGCATTGGTTCATATGAATCTTAAACGAAAAGATCCCTTTAAGCTTCATTCGGTTCGAATTTACTCTGGACAAGGAGATGATATGTTTAAAGGAGACGGGCGTCGACCACGTTGGCTTGATGTCAAACAAAAATCGAATTACAATATCTATCGATTTCTTTTAATTATATTCGTTTAATATTACCTATTACGTTTTATTATTTTATTATTTATATATTTATTTATTTGTTTGCCACTTATATGGACAAGTCACTTTTAAAGAAACGGGAGAGGGCACCTAACTTAACGCAGTCGGCGTGATACTTATAGCCCTCCTCGGGACGAGCTACAGCGAATTCTAAGCACGATGGCTGCCAACTGTACCTTTCCCGGACGCCGGTGGTCTTTCACATTGATCATTGCGATATATAGACGATGAAGTTTCGACAATTAAAGCCAATGCTACCAATTATAAATACCTAATATTTGGCTATGAAACTGCTGCGACTGGCACTAAATATTTACAAGGATTTATTATTTATAAAAACCCGATTACATCGTCAGCGCAGTGATAGTGCAAACAAAACACTCCAAACGTTTTAAACAGTAAATGGTCACTTTCCTTATCGACTGTGTGTACGCCGATTTAGCGAAGGACGCTAATAGAAGCCGATGGACGCACAAATGCGTTATTTGTATATATGTGTACCTCAACAAAGCATGCGTAATTTACCCATTAGAGTTCCGGGATTTTACTAATACACTAGAAAAGCGCTTCCCTAGGTAAGGAATGTGTGAAAAAACAAAGGCCTCCTATATATATTTTTGTAGAGCTATGTCGTAACGTAACAACATATTATAACAATATATAGTTAGACAGTAAATTAAAAAAAGGACTGATGACGTTCGTTAATTATAACTTTCGCCATCAGTTTGATCGATATGTGCTATAGTGAAATGAAAATAAAGAATTTCTTCTTAATGCAAAAGTTTACCTTTTGGCACGAAATATTCGGATTCAGAAGAAATCTTGAAAATTCTCATAAAGTACCATTATGTATAGTTACGTGTGATCGCTTGTCTCTACTCGTTTCATTGTGCCTTTTAACACTGGCGTCGACCGTCGATCTTGTTCCTCGTATGCGCGACGGTGAACGAACAAGGTAAATATAGATACCTCTCCATGAGCTCGTCCTCATTGTGAACAGCTATATGCCCTCTTTGTTTCTATCTCTGATGACGCCTACCTCCCTCCAGCTGTTGTTCAGGTTTGTGCTAAAGATCGAGGAAGCTGGGAAAGCGAGAATGCTTTGGCTCGAGGAAGACTAAAGGTACAGGGAAAGGGTATTTGATCCAATGATTGCTCGCTTTGTAGATTACTTTCAATCATATTTCTGATATTGTGAGGTGTTTATATGCTGGACATAAATAATCACATTTGTCAGAAGTAGTCATTACATTTTCACATCTGCCGGCCGCTTTGTTTTGGTGTTGCTAAGGCCATTCTCCTGTTTAGCGTATTCGTATAGCGAAGCTATTAAATTCTGCTATAATCTGAGACATATTTTAGTGGTACGTTGAATATTCTGTGGTCTTATGCACGTAATTGCTGCTGCGTCAAATCATCATTTAAGACTGGAAATCTTCATTTAAGGCATATAGACGTTATTCTGAAACACACTTTTTGGATGCGAGGCCTTTTGTTTCCTAACTATATCGCCACAGGATGAACACGCCAACCCAATTTTTTGATACGTGATGGATACTCTCACATGGCGTTGTTGGCTCACCCGCTAACTATGATGAATTTACTCACGTTAACATTAGTACATCGAAAGTACTATGTTGAGTGGCATATCTCATTGTACCAAGAAACCCAAAGAACGGATCTCTAGCGATTTGCAACCCCTTGAAATCACCAACCGTATATGTCACGTAGTTTATATTCCACGAGAGTTCATGCTGAAACCAGTGTTAATGATCGTCCTTCTATGTACTGCTTCAATGTTATATATTTCATCTGAATGCCTAGCGCTACCCAGATCCAATTTTGATTCGAACACTAAGGGCGCATATGTGCTTATCCCAATGCTCGATCTTTAGGACTTCGTGCGACTCGCTGACCACTAGCCCCTACTTATCTGTTCTTCTGTCACTTACAATGGGACTATTTGATGTAAATGCTAAAATTCAGGTAAGTAAAAAGGACCCTGAATATAGTTAGGGGACTTGGAATTTTTTTTTATAGTCCTAACTTTACAAAGACGTGGTTTGATAATTCCATTTCTCATTTCTTCATTGCTAATTTCTACCTTTCTAACTTCCTGTGACTTTTCCCCCGCGTCTGATGCCTAGAAAGCTATAAATACATGCTAACTATTCCATATCTCTAACAAGTGCACCTCTATGGCATTTACCAATAGGGGTTAGACATATTATCTGGTAGTGAGATACGAGATAGGTTTTGGTGATGTCCGTTGTATTCGACTGTGAAAATAGGCAAGTTACAAGTCGTACCTTCAAAATAAATCTTCATTAGGTGGACAAAGCTGATCATCTTGTAGTAGAGAGAGCTTTCAATCGAATCCGCGACCTCAGTAAATGCTCCCAAGAAGATCCAGGACTTAGTGCCGTTTCAGACTGGCTCGACAGAGTCCTCATGTACAACATACCGCATGGGAAACGCTGGCGGTTACTTCAGGTAACATATATGATAAGTAATAAACAAATTTCGCTTACGAGATCTGTTTACGATAGTATCTACTGCATTCGTGTACAGCAGGATGTGATCCCCGTTTCAGGATTGTAATTGTAGGCAAGCTTTTTTCACAAGCCCACGCTAACGCACAATAATTTCGCGTCATTCTAATATAAGAACCATTCACGTTGCATGCGGCAGGCGTAACTGTGCTACACGAGCCACAAAATACGCTTATGTAAAGTACGCTTATGGCTTCAGCGGTACGGTCCCAAGAGTTTCAAGAACCAAAAGCTTCTTTCGCCAGGGCCTAAGCAGACATACTCATTAATAAAGTAGATCAATCCATACAGATAATCAAGTAAGATTAATATGTGCTGATGCATATTCCACAACTGATCTTGACTGATGAGTCTACGTACGACGCTTTGGCTGTCGAGTGAGAGCAAGACTGACAACAACCTTTGCAACAATCCCACGGCGGCCGAGTTAACAAATTGCATTCATCGGATACGAAACTAGCTAAAGGCTTGCTGACGATACAGGGAAATTTCAAGTTCCAGGCGATAATGTGCATGCGCGATGAATATAAATACTGCTTTAGGAGTAATGGGCAATAAATAGCCAATAGATATTCAAACACCTATATTAATATATAAATACGTAAACAGGAAGAAAACGATATGTGTTTCATTTTTTCGTATAAAGCATGTCATTTTAACAAGTGGTGCATAAAAAAACATTCAAGTCTATTTGCGGAAGTTTGTCGTAAAACAAATATGGATGCCAGCATGCCGGATGCAGGCACGGTCAGCGCCAGAGTTCAATGAGAAAACGTACACATTATTATGATACTGCTGTAGAAATGTCTAATAAAATTAACATGCAACGCAGTTAGCGAAAAGATCGCAAATTTATTTTTCAGGTTGTCCAAGCCTTCGAAACGTTTTCCTCGGAGCCAGTTTCAGAGAGGGACCTTGAAAATGCTGCTATTCTCGGGTGGACCATCGAAATATTCCAGGTCGTAACGCCGATTTTATTGTGTTAAGAAGATTCGAAATAAGTTTTCTGTTAAAAAACTAAAAATAGTTATTGCTACTGTTCAAATAAATTCTCGCTGCGTTGCAAATTTCCTAACAGGGAAAAATGTAAGCAGCGACTAATAGCCACCGCAAAATTTTTAGAAACTATTTATAATTCCCTGTAAAATATTCTACACTCATTTAATTCAAAGTCTCATATTTGTTTAAACATGAATCGTACGCCTGTTAGTCCGGAAAATTTGACATTTACAGCAAATTTCGAAGGGGCCACTGAGAGGCGAGAGCGAATCATAACGCAAAACGTGGTAACTAATAGTTATATACTTGTTATAGGCTTTCTATCTCATCATCGACGACATAATGGACAAAAGTATCACACGCCGAGGTTCACCATGTTGGTACCTTGTCGACGAGGTACTACACATTTAATATAGTTCACCTTCTCAATCAACTTGTATCGTTTTAACTTTTCGTTGCGTTGCGTGTAGGCTTCGAGTATTTTCTATGAAAGTGTAATGTGCCTCGGTTCTGATGGCGCTTACTTTAAACTAAGACCAGATACATGCTAAATAATTATATACATATATATAGAAACTTAAGCCCGTGAAGGCCGATGTGCATATGTCGTTCCTTTTTGTTTTTAGGTCGGCATGATGGCGATAAATGATGCGTTGCTGCTCGAAACGATTATCTTTCAAGTCCTAAAACAGGTCTTTCGGGACCATCCTAGCTACCTTGATATTGTCGAACTGCTACACGAGGTTAGTTATTAGAAATTAATCGACAGCATTACTTAGCCTATTTTTGATCAAGCCTTACTTATGTACACATTGTCGAATATTTCATCAAAAACATCTGATTTGAATTTGTTTGAGTTTATTTGAACTTGTTTCAAATTTAACTTACTAATGATGTTATGAAAACGGCTGTACTATACATAGATAACTGAATTCGTTATTGTTTTTCTTTATTTTTTTCAGTTACAAGCTAATGGAAGCAAGAGAAAAAAAGCTTGTACAGTTAAAATATTTTTATCACTTGTGGAATGATCATATTTGTTTAACTTAGCCGATTGTTTATGGGTATTCATAACTAAACATTACATGACTCGTATCTCGTATCGCACAAAAATTGTGTGTACGATGTTTGCAGGTTCACTATCAGACAGTTCGAGGCCAATGCTTGGACGTGCTATCAGAAAGGAAGCGTGTGTATGGTGAAGAACGCTATAATACGATCGTCTTATACAAGGTAAATTTCAGATATACGAATCGATATTTTGCCCTGCTTAACTTGCTGGATCAGACCACAGCTTATGGAACCTAATCTTAGCATTCATACCTAGGCATTTCTAACACTATTAAAACCAACTACCGACGTGACGATATTATATATTAC